GTTCTTTTCCATTCCATATAATTAATAATGTATTGCAAATTTCGTGAGAATTGTAACTGAGCTAATAAAAAGCTAAAAGGTAACATACAAACAAAATCATTTATAAATTAGCATTTATTGTATTAAAATACGCGTAATATACTCATAGGTATGTATTACCCATGTAGATGTATTTTTTAACCCTTAAAAACCTGATATTTAAATCAAATTAAAAAAATATAAGTGTACCCTTTACTATGTTTACCAATGGGGAAAATAATTAAAAAAATAAAAACGATATTTTTATATATTTATTTTGAAAATAAAAACATTTGGTAACATTTAAACAGCCAAATATTAAAATAAAATCGATTGTAGGCGCCCAATGCGATTTATAACCCCGGTATCAAATTTGAAACTTCAGGTATTTAAAGGTTAATAGATGATAATGGAATGGTTACCCCGCCTGCGCTATCGTTATCCCGGCGGGGCACCAGTAAGAGATGATAGGTGACGATGAAGCAGGTCAGTTAGCCCATCGTGATGAATTGCGCTAGAATTAACCACGATGGTTTCCAGGAGGAACCGCGTGGAGGTCGACCTGACAGGGTATATTGCTAGCAATGGGGTAGTTAGACCCCATTACTAACAATCCCTTCTCCTCCCCATATAGATATATTGTACATGTTCCCGTGTGGTCCCGGCATAGAATAGGCAACCGCTTCCTTTTCCGTGGGTGTCGTAAGAGGCGACTAAGGGAGAGCGAGGGATGGGCAGCAGCGTCCCTCTTAAAACATCCTCAAAGGCCTAACTACGGTTGCTAATCCGCCTGCCAAGCGTAGCAACTACTGTCAAAACCCCCCTAGGGGAAGGCTTATGTTCAGCAGTGGACAGTTAAAGGCTGATATGATTTTTTTTTATACAACTTAGAATGGCAAACAAGCTGACGGCCCACCTGATGGAATGTGGTAATCGTCGCCTATAGACATGAGCAGTACCATGAACATAACAGAGTATACTGTTTCGCCCATGATACCCCGCATGCGTTCCCATTCCTGAGGACTCAGGTGTTATTCCTGCGTACCTAGTGAATTCACGCCATATCCCACCCTTCAAACCGAAACACAGCTATGCAACCACATGCTTTACGGTTAAAACACGAATGGGACAGAGGTAACCAAATTGCTATTCAATAATATGTTTACATGCTGGGGTTGTAAAAGTACATTCTTTTCTACACCATTCACTGTGTGTATGTCAAACTTCATGATGATTTGGTCAGCAGTTATAAACACACAAACATACTCACTTTCACTACTCGTAAGATATCGAAATACTCGTAAGATTGTCTCGTATTTTATATCTGCAATCTGCTTTAAAACCGCTTTCCTTGTACGTACTGCATTTAAATATAAATGCATAATATTAAATCGAGATTAAAGATATTAAAGGTTGCATATAAATTAATGTTGCACATTATTTTTAAGCAGCTTTAAAAAGTGTTTTTTTTTTATACTACTGATGTGGCAAACAAGCATACGGCCCGCCTGATGGTAAGTGGTTACCGTAGCCTATGAACGCCTGCAATACCGGAGGTATTACGCGTGCGTTGCCGACCCTGAAGAAACCTCTTTACTCCCCTTTTGAAAAACCCCATGCTGAAGTGTCTTGGGAAAACTTCGAAAAAAAAATTTCCTAATTCGCCTGAAGTTATAAAAATCCCAACTATCTGGACTAGTGGAGTGGAACTAGTCCACGCACAACCACTCTTTGGAATCGACTTCCAGCAGCAGTATTTCCGAACAGATACGACATTATAACCTTTAAGAAAAGAGCATATTCCTTTTTAAAAGGCCGGCAGCACACCTGCAATGCCGTTGGTGTTGTGGATGATCATGGGCGTCGGTAGTCATTTACCATCAGGTGAGCCGCATGCTCGTTTGCCCCCTATGTTGTAAAAAAATGGGTCTAGAACTTGTGACTAATTGTGTCGTCCAGGTCGTGTGGTCCCGGCATAGAATGGACCACACCTACCTTTCCCGTGAGTTTCGTTATGGTAGTAAATTTACAGGGCACAGAGGAATAACACCTGAGTCCTCAGGAATGGCAACGCATGGGGGGTATCATGGGCGAAACAAGTTACTCTATTATGTCCATGGTACTGTTCATGTCCTCATTACCACTTTCCATCAGGTGGGCCGTCACCTTGTTTGCCATTCTAAGTTGCCTAAAAAAAACTATTTAATCTTTATTTATTTGCTTTTAGTCTTATATACCCAAGGGTTTCATGTGGATGAACTATTGAGGCCTCGGCGGAGACTCAAAACTTTATTATTGGACAAAGTTCTATCTTTTCTATTTTGCGTTTAGTTTATTTACCTTTTCAAATTTTGTGTCTTTCCTTTGTGAAGAATCTGCATTTGGAAAGAGTATGGTAGTTTATTTCGTTTCAATGTTGCAAGTCTTTGTATTTACATAAAGGTATTGAACTTTTAATATACAAAAATACGTGTTTAGATTCTGTATGTTCGTAAATAATGAAATCATAGTTACGAATATAGATTTGTCTGTTTTATTTGTTTATTTATATGCTTATGTATACTTTTCATGCTTACAACAATACTGCGTACAAGCAGACTTATCCCTTGAAAGGATTTCTTCTAGTCAACCTTAGGAATCCAAAAGGAGAAATTAAATTAAAATAGGGATTATATATAAATCATAACATATATTGTGCGAAATAATATGAAAAATAATAAAATATAATATAATATATATAATAATAAACTATATATTAGTAACAGAATATATATATATATATATATGTGTGTAGACGGAAAAAACATTCCAAAAACAGATGGTAGACAGAGGCACTAATATTGGAAAATGGACCAATTTGAATAAGAACAATCCAAGATAGGGATGATAGAGAGGGAAAGGGTTCCCCTTTCCTACGCTAAAACGTCAACTATTGCAAATTAAAACTTAAATAAGCGCAAATATTCATTAAAATTTTAATTTTGTTACAGCTGAATAAACGGTTATTTTATTTTATTAAACGTCTTAAACAATACACATAATCATAACTATTTTATACAACACTAACCAATTAAATACTTTATTAAATATTTAAACAAGTCTTTATTAGTTATACAATGAAATCGTAAAGTAACTCTTGCATACTGTCTATTGTTAAGTTAATTGAATCAACATAGATGCTATTCGTTGCATACCGTTTAGAAGCTAAACTTTTAATAGAATAAGTTTTGGAAGATAAAAAAAAATAAACATATTGCAAACTCCAATATGTCTAAATATAACTTCTGACAAAGAAATGTCAATTTAACTTTGTTTTTTTATTTGATTTGCCTGTTATTATATAAAATACATAATTTACCAGAGGGAGACTTTGTACAAAAGTCGATTGCTTTGGTATCAACGGTGAAGCAGCTGGGTTTGCATGGCTGTGTTTCGGTTTGAAGGGTGGGATATGGCGTGAATTTATTGGGTACAGAGGAATAACACCTGAGTCCTCAGGAATGGCAACGCATGGGGGATATCATGGGGGAAACAGTATACTCTGTTATGTGCATGGTACTGCTCATGTCTATAGGCGACGGTTACCACTTTCCATCAGGTGGGCCGTCAGCTTGGTTGCCATTCTAAGCTGTATAAAAAAAGTCATAATGAACTGCATATAAAAGTAAGTTTGTTTGTTACCTCATAGCGCCTTAATTTTACCAATTACCAATGAAAATTGGTATACACGTCCTGCTATATTTTCTCTTTGTTGTAAACATACTCCAGTAAAAACTATTTCAAAATAAAAAAAAAAACTTTATTTGAATAAGCTTTTACAATATCTCTTTTAAATCGTCATGTTTTTTTTTTAAAAACTACTGTAATTTCGGAAAGTTATCTATTAAGACCCTATTTATACATTGTAAATAAATAAATATTATATCAAGTGGGGTCAAACTAAACAAGTGATAATACAATCCACCTAATGGAAAGTGCAAACCGTCACCTATAAGCATAAAGAGTAATTATTTGATGTTAGAAAACAGAGTAAACAATAGATTTTTTTTGATGGGTGAAAATGGTATGGTAACCCCGCCTGCGCTAACGGAATACGCTGGCGGAGCACCAGTGAAGGGTGATAGATGAGAATGAAAACAGGCCAGTTAGCCCATCATGATGAGTTCATCAGGAATTAACCATGATAGTTTCTAGGGAGAACCGCGAGGTCGACCTGGTTGGGTATATTGCTAGCAATGGGATTCTCAGTCTCCATTACTAACAATCCCTTTCCCCCCAAACAATGGATTGTAACACCTAACTACGCCTACACTACTCCCACGTCTTTTGTTTCAATAGAAACTAGTGTTGTTTATAATATTAAATATATTATTAGAGATTAGATTATATATTCTTAGATCGAGTTGATGCGTGTATAAATTAATAAATTACGAATTATTTATAAAGTGTACGCACTGAAGATTGATTAAAAAAAATAAATGAAGTATATTAAAAAAAAAATTATAGTACAGGTCCCTTGAACAATAGAAAATAAAAAGGAAAATAAAATTGCAAAAAAAGGAGGAAATTATTATTAATTAATTACATTATTGTTTATATTTATATGACCTTTCATTTAAAAGTATATTTATTTATTTATTTAAACTTTAATGCACAGTAAAATTCTATGTATATTTGGCGGACTTAACACCGGACGGTACTCTCTACCAGCTAACCATTATATATCTATTATTAAAAAAAAATTCTCAGAAGACAGGAGATTTTGTATTCCAATTTTAAAAAAGTATACTAGATTTATTATATGTATTGAACGCCATCTGTCGGTTACAAAAGTATTACTGTTGTAGCACCATTACACTAGATGACGCGGTATATATGAAAATAGGAATGACATGGTTCTTAATACGTCAGTGGGAATAGGACAAAAGGTTAGAGGGACAAAATTCCAATTAATACAAAGAAATAATACACACAAATTGCAAAAACACATTTTTTATTCCAAAAAACAAATTACAAATAAATATTTCTTTCACATTAAATATTCAACCAAATATATTTAGTTTACAAGATTGTATTAGGCGTCAAGAACTTTCTAGAACAAATGAGGAGCGAATATTGTAGGTCTGTAAGCGGGCACGACCGGCTGATGGTAGAGGGCGCTGACATGGGACACCACGGGAGCGTGGTGCACCACCGGAGCGTGTACTAGGGGAGCAGGGGCCACTAGGGGAGAGTGGTACACAGCTGGTACTCCGCTTGAGTAGACTACTACGGGCTTCGGAGCTGGGGCCGCGCTCACTGAGGCGAGAAGGCATAGAAAAATCTGGAACAAATTTATACTTGTAAAATTCTATAAATGTAAAATTTTGTAAAAAAATTTATACCACAAAATGGTATACCAACATACGGCTGGATTAATGGTTACTGCAGCCTGCAACATTAAAGATATCATACGAAGAAATCTTAATACGTCCTTTTTAAAGAATCCCATCCTGTAATTTCTAGGGAATACCTCAGTAGAGAGCTCAATCCACAGCCTAAGATTTTGCAAGAGCAGTAAATTAACAAAGCAATGGATAATTATCGTTACTGAAACTAGAAATCAGATTTTGTATTTTATATAGAATACTATGGCATTATTTAAAAAAAAATTATAATTTCTTATTTTTTTTATGTAACTTAGAATGGCAAACAAGCTGACGGCCCACCTGATGCAAACTGGTAACCGTCGTCGCCTATAGACATGAACAGTACCGTGGACATAACAGAGTATACTGTTTCACCCATGATACTTCCCATGCGTTGCTATTCCTGAGGACTCAAGTGTTATTCCACTGTACCCCGTAAATTCACTGCCATATCCCACCCTTCAAACCGAACACATCCATACAAACAAAATTGCTTTACGGTTGAAACACGAATGGGGCAGAGGTGTCCAAACAAACGACTTTTGTACAAAGTCTCCCTCTGGTCAAATTATTTAAAACACGTTTTTGTAAAATAAATTTCATAATAGTCTTGTAAAAATATATTTTATCGATAAAACCCAATTAATATTGTCAGCGTTTGCTAATAAAGATCTTGTTTTAGTCCTTATAATTATAGCCCAAGGCGAAAGCAAATTATTTCAAATAATATTAAACCTTTTGGTATTGTAAATAAAATTGTAAATACATAACTTTATATTGTTATTAAACTTAGAAACTTAACTTAGAAAATATTGATAATTAATGTGTTTGTTTATAAATTTTAATGTATAAAATAAATTATAATATATAATGTCTATATAATAATAATAAATAAATAAAATAAATAAATAAATACGGACAAATCACACAGATTGAGCTAGCCCCAAAGTAAGTTCGAGACTTGTGTTATGGGATATTAACTCAACGATACTATATTTATAATAGATACATATATAGATAAACATCCAAGACCCAGGACAATCAGGAAAAGATCGTTTTCCATCATGACCTGGCCGGGGACCGAACCCGGGGCCTCCATGTCGCAGGCAGGCGTGTTGACCGCTGCGCCACGGAGGACGACGAAATATTAATATTTAATCCGAAAAGAAGTAGTTTTCCAGTTCGGTGGTATTTTTTTATGTGTTTGTTACCTCATAACTCCTCATTAGTTATAAATCGATTTTGAAAATAGATTTTTTTTAATCTGAAGAAACATACATATTAGTTTTATAGACAATTTATTACAGTCGGTTAGGTAGTTATTAAATTAAAAAAACTACTTAGCGGTTTTTTTTTTTTTTTTTTTTGGGAAAATACAGTCTTAATTCTTAATATTAATCTATTTTTTTTTTCTGATAATAATCTATACTTATAATAAATCTGTAGAGAGGTCAATTCTGTACATGAAATATATTTCCAAAATAACTATCAGCGGGTGATTAGTGATCGATACTGATGCCAAAATAGCAATCAGTAAAATTTTTGCCTATCTGTCTATATATTCGTTACAGAAACAAAAACTAATCGACGGATTTTAAGGAAACTTGGTACAATTTTTCTTCATACTCCTGGGCAGGTTATAGTATATTTTTCATCACGCTACGATCAATAAGAGCAGAGCAGTGAAGGGAAATGTTGGGAAAACGGGAGAAGTTACTCCATTTTTAAGTTACCGTCACGTGTGCAGCCTTAATGTGCACTTTTTTTTTAATGTCCACCCGTGCGACGCCGGGACGGGTTACTAGCTATTAATAATTTTTCAACCACTTTCATATTACACATTAATTGGTGACAATAATATAAAACTAAACATATTTGTGGGAGACTGGTGTCTAAATTGGGCAACGATGGTAATTCCAAATGTGAATGTACTTACCAGACGGTACATTTTTGTTAAATTTGAAATTATTTGTCGACTAATCGAATCGAATATAAGTATACGACTGTTCCAATGATGCGTGTCGCACGTTATATAGCCGTTCTGGAATTTTAGGTCCTTACCGTATATAGGCAGTGGCATGTTTAAATACTAAATAATTGTTTTACTGGTATATCACACTGCACAGCCGGTTATTCTGGTACCTCTATAGAATGCTATGGTGTTTTTTTTTTACTGATCTAATAGATTTTTCTATCATTTATTGCTATATTACTTAACTTGTTGAGATTTAGCTACTGGCTGTAGTTGTGGTTTTTCTCTCAATCCTAACGTAAGGTTGTTTTCGATTAAGTACCACATAAAATTATATATATTAGAGGGAGACTACAAAAGCTTGGGTGCCTCTGTCCTATTCTTGTTTCAACCGTGAAGCAGTTGTGTTTGCATGGCTGTGTTTCGGTTTGAAGGGTGGGATATGGCGCAAATTTACTGGGTACAGAGGAATAACATCCGAGTCCCCAGGAATGGCAACGCATGGGGGGTATCATGGGCGAAACAGTATACTCTGTTATGTCCATGGTACTGCTCATGTCTATAGGCGACGATCACCACTTTCCGTAAGGTGGGTCGTCAGCTTGTTTGTCATTCTAAATTGTACAAAAAAATATATAGACGTAAACCATTAATAATATTTAATATATATATTTCAAAATATGAATTAGAATTATATTAAATTAGATACTTGGTATTATATATAATGTATATATACTTACATGTGTGGTCTTTCCCCCTATGATCCCCCAGCATAGAATAACCCACTCTTTCCTTTCCAGTGGGTGTCGTAAAAGGCGACTACGGGAACATAATGGTCGAGGGATAGGCAGCAACGTCCCTCTCAAAATCTCAAAACATGTTAAAAACTGCGATTGCCAACCTTTGCCAACCCGCTTGGCAAGCGTGACAACTACTAGCAAAAATCCCCTTATGACGAAGGTTCAGCAGCGGACAGTTAAGAGCTAATAAGATGACGATATATACTATATATATATATATATATATATATATATATATATATATATATATATATATATATATATATATTTTTCATTTATTTATTAATGTTATGAATGGACCTGGTCATCAGGTTTATCCTACTTCAGACATCGATTCTTCATAATACACAGTGTTTGCATGGCTGTGTTTCGGTTTGAAGGGTAGGATATGGCGTGAATTTACTGGGTACAGAGGAATAACACCTGAGTCCTCAGGATTGGCAACGCATGGGGGGTATCATGGGCGAAACAGTATACTCTGTTATGTACATGGTACTGCTCATGTTTATAGACGACGGTTACCACTTTCCATCAGGTGGGCTGTCGGCTTGTTTGCCATTCTAAGTTGTATAAAAAAAACACAAATAAAAATACAGTGAATGGAGACTTGCACCCGAGTTAAAAGAGTATTTTAGTTGCTACCTTATACCCTCCTCTTTTTAAAAATCTTACAAATATAATTCTTTCTATTTACCGTCTACACTATGTAGTTGTAACATTGGAATTGTAAACGATTCCTAGCTTACCCTAAATGGTCTACCACAAGCATTGCACTACTAAATATGGCTGATCGTCTTCATTGAAAGCGGCATTTTCCTTGATTGATGCTTCATTAACTTAAAAGCAGTAAAGCAAGACACACTTGCATACATACATGCATGCATGCATACACACACATACATCAATCATTAATTCAAATCGAGACACACGTGAAATTGTTCCCTTATCAAAATAATAAAGATTGTTAGTGATGGTGATTATCAGTGCCATTGCTAGCAATGTACCTTGTCAGGTCGACCTCCGCGTGGTCTCCCTGGAAACCATCGTGCTGAATTCCAGATGTGTTCATCACAATGGGCTAACTGACCTGCCTTTTCATTCTCACCTATCATCTCTCACTAGTGCCTAGTCAGCGTATACTGTTACCGCAGACGAGGTTACCATTCCATTATCATGCATTAAAAAAGGGAGGTAGTTCCAACGTGATTGTATTTTTTGAGTGTTTAAACACAATTGAACTATGGTACCCGTAACCGGCAAGCGTGTATGAAAAGATTGATGAATGTGGAAGAAGCGAAAGAGGTTTGTTTGAATCGAAGCATTTGGCGTTCCATTGTTTCTGCCTACCCTAATGGGAGACAGGCGTGACAGATATGTATGTATGTATGTATGTGTGTGTGTGTATGTATGTATGTATGTATGTATGTATGTATGTATGTATGTATGTATGTATGTATGTATGTATGAACTATGGCATGAAACAACAATAAGGATATTTCTAATCACAATTCATACAAACCACAAGTTATATTTAGTAATACATGTGTCTTTACCTTGGAGGATTAATATATTCTTCATTCGATTCCAGTCTGAAATACTGAACGGATACCGTCGATGTTCACGTGTCAACAAAAATATAACTAGTTATTCTAAAATTTCCCCCGAGTATCAAGATATGTTACATAGTAGTTTACGTTGAAATATACATTTATTGCTTTTTTTTTATTCATTTGATAGATTTGCACATATTATTTCTATTACCAGTTCATTTGTATCTTCATCAACATAAAGTTCCCAATAGTAAACACACCAAATACCACGGAGGTGGCAAACAAGCATACGGCCCACCTGATGGTAAGTGGTTAACGTAGCCTATGAACGCCTGCAATACCAGAGGTATTACGCGCTCGTTGCTGACCCTGAAGAAACCTCTTTACCCCCCTTTTGAAGAACCCCATGCTGTAGTCTCTTGGGAGAACCTCGGTAGAGAACTTATTCTATAACCTGAGTGTTCGTGAGAGAAAACATCTCTGAAACCGCGTTGTACGCGACCATTTAGGCTGTACGGTATGAGGGTGAACTCCCTGTCGATGGCGAGCCGTACGATGATAGAAAGTAGCCGTGGGCATCATATTGAACAATTCTTTTATCTTCATATTATGTTATAAGTTCATATATTACCTTTTTTACTATTTCACAAATTTTTCCCCACTAGTTTTTCCATATAACTAACATGTAATAATCCTTATGAAAGTATTTTAAGTCCTTTTCATCCAAAATAGGTACATATTTGCAAAATTTCATAGTAATTAAAAAAAATCCAACACTGCGTCTGTTTGTACGGGCTCGCTTCAAAAACCTTTCTTCAAAATCAAAATTTGTTCGTTTAAATTTTCAAAATCTTAAACTCTACTGTTTGAACAGTACTTAGTCTTTAATTACAGTTTAACGTAGGCGATTAAAGATCTACGCATTTTCAACTAAGAAGATAAATTGGCCAATTAATGATCATTACCAGTTAACATAACATTTGTTAAACATTGTACAATTTACACTTTGGAAACGAACTAGGCAAAACTTTAATTGAAACTATCATAGCGTAGTGTTTTTAGGCGATTTCAATTTTTTTTTTATGCTACTTACAATGGCAAACAAGCTGACGGTCCACCTGATCGAAAGTGGTAACCGTCGCCTATAGACATGAGCAGTACCATCGACATAACAAAATATACTGTTTCAACCAGGATACCCCCCATCCGTTGCCATTCCTGAGGACTCAGGTGTTATTCCTCTATACCCTGTAAATTTGCTGCCATATCCCACCCTTCTAACCGAAACACAGCCATGCAAACACAACTGCTTTACAGTAAAAACACGAATGGGACAGAGGTGCCCTAGCAATCGATTTTTGTACAAAGATTCCCTCTGGTCTTCTCTTCAAAATAGAGAAATTTCACAATTCCATTGTATTTTGAAATACATAGATACCTGTTTTATAAATTTAACAAGTATTAATCAAACAGGAAATTTCTTAATAATTGTTTTTAAACAAACAAGATACTTAAGATGGCAGATGGTCTAATAAATATTATATATATATATATATATATATATATATAAATTTGTCTAGTTCTTTTTGTTTGTAAATTGTAGCAATATTGTACACTGCTCTACCCGCTGACATTGATGCTCCTTTACACTTTGGATGTTGCTGGAAGAAAGCTTTTTTAGAGATAAGTTCGCCTTTGTACATTTGATTACCTCTGTCATATTTTTATGTATAATTAGTGTGTACAATAAAGTATTACATAAATACTTGTAGATAATAAATCGTCATTAAGGGTGTTTTTTTTAATGAATGATAATGACATGGTAACCCCGCCCATGCTATCCATATATGCTGGCGGGGCACCAGTGAGGGAGGATAGATGAGCATGAAAGCAGGTCAGTTAGCCCGTCGTGACGAATGCAAGAAGTATAATACTAATCACAATGGTTTCCAGGGGAAACCGCGTGGAGGTCGACCTGATAGGACTTTCTAGCAATGGGGCCATTAGTCTATATTACTAACAATCTCTTTTCCCCACATAAAGGGTGCTCCCATGTGTTAAATTGATTATCTTTGATAATGCATTGAACTAGATCATTATGCATTTTGATCCAATTCACAATAATCATATGTAAGATTGTGGTACATTTTTGGATTTTGATAGAATATGGCTACTTTAGAGTTATTCAAATTTAATAAATACATATGTCATTTATAAACACAGTGCAATTTCTATTAAAAATTATAAATTAATCTCTCAATATTGTGATTTAAATTCGAAAAAAAAATAATCATAATGAAATAAATATAAAATAAAAAAAAAATATTAGAAAACACTTAATTTATTATAAACCTTAAAATCGATTCCACTTAATGGACGGCGACTAAAGCGGCCTTCACCACGGGGGTATGATGAACGTATGAGGTGCTGTGCGCGACAGCGACTGGGGCAGTCTTGACTACGATTGGGGCAGCGTGAACCACTGGGGCAGCGTGAACGACTGGGGCAGCGTGAACGATTGGGGCAGCGTGAACAACAGGGGCAGCGTGAACGACTGGGGCAGCGTGAACGACGGGGGCAGCGTGAACAGCGTGTACAATAGGGGTTCCATGGTTGACGACTTGGCTGCTCTTGGTGATTGTGGTTTTGGAGCCAACGACGGGGACTGCAGCGTGCACGACAGGGGCGGCGTGGACTGCAGCCACTACTGGTGTCTCGTGGGCGACCAGCAGGCCAGGGGCGGCCACGGCGCTGGCCAGGAGAGCGGCGAAAGCAAGCTGGAAACAAAATGAATTTTCCATTACACAATTGTTTTTTTTTTAATACAAATAAACAAAATAACTCGATAAATTGTAAAAACTAGTAACGTCTAATAAATCTATTTTAACAACTGAACCGTTTTTTTTAGAGTTTTTTTTTTTTTAATATTTAAAAACGGAATAAAACCTGCTAATAGTAAAAATAAGTTCTTAAAAGGTTTTTATAAACATATAAAACAAAGTGATGACGGACGAAACAAGACTTTGTATTTATTGACCTCAAAATGTATCCACTTATCAAAAATAGAACACTCTTGTGCCTGCTGCACATTTATTTTATACTTTTGTCATGTAAACTAAAAATATCTATTCAGATCTAAAAAATTCAGGTAAGACATTTTGACCAACAAAGAGGCTATTAGACACACACATATTTTCACTTTTTTTTTATACAACTTAGAATAACAAACAAACTGACGGCCCACCTGATGGAAAGTGGTAACCGTCGCCTATAGACATGAGCAGTGCCATGTACATAACAGAGTATACTGTTTCGCCCATGATACCCCCCATGCGTAGCCATTCCTGAGGACTCAGGTGTTATTCCTCTGTACCCAGTAAATTCACGCCATATCCCACCCTTCAAACCGAAACACAGCCATGCAAACACAACTGCTTCACGGTTGAAACACGAACTTTTTAACTGAGTTAATAATAATGCAATGGTTGAGCTTCTAAAAAAGAATATCTTGTTTGATAATAAATAATTGTATATATATATATTAACACAACACAAAACTTACAATGGTCTGCATGTTTGTTTACGAGAATGGTTGTGTACAACACAAGTTTACAGAGTTATCTAACAACACTGACTTTCTGTACGGTATTTATATGGACCCGTGCCGAAATTCGACAATGAATGCACGCAATGCGCGTACTTGAATACTGTATACATTACGGAGATAGGCTCGTTGAGCTGCGAAGGAGAGGACGCGGCCGAAAAAAGCTTCATGTACGATTTATTATTTAAAGTATTAATTTTTTTATGATGGCATGAAACAAAAAAGTTATTTTTTTTATTAATTTTTAATGTAAGAATAACAATCAATTATTTGCACTTTGTTCCGTTGTGTTTATTAAATTATTTATATATATACCTACTTATATCATAAAAAGTAAATATTAATTACCTATTTGTTTTTTATAGAAAAAAACTCAAAAACTACTTAACTGATTTTAAATATTCTTTCATCTAATGAAAGCTACATTATCAACAAATAACATAGCCTATACATAATTTATCGAAAATTTTATCTATCCATGTAAAGCTGGACCCAATCGCTACTTTTGGCACTAGCACGAGACCGGTATCGAAACATTCATCTTTATTTTTTATAATTATAAATATTTATAAACAATATAATAATATAAAGATGTTTTTTTATTATATAAGGTACTTAACAACTTACTACATAATTGCAAATTAGTATAGAAATATTATTAAAATATGAAAGCCTAACTAATGTTTAAGTGATTTCAAAGCAGACAGGAACTTTTTAATTTTTTGTTTTATCGAGAAGTTAAAATACAAATAGTGAAATTTATATTTACATTTTTTTTTATATATCATTCTTCATGATAAAGAGAATAATAATACAATATAAATAAACATTATAAATAACACTTTTGCAAATACGGTAAAAATTAAGATAAAACTTCAAAATTAAAAAAATACGCATGTGATTATTTTGTTACGTCACAACACGCGACGCTATGAATTCATATTGCATTTAAACTTTAACTTTACATTTTTAACTTCGTTCAGTTACAATTTCAATAATAACAATATTAATATAGGGGATGCTGAAATTAAATTCACCTCGACTATTAGACCCTTATCAGCAGTTTATCAGCTAACTTGATATCGAGATATTAATTAACATACAAAGATTTCATTAATCAAACCACAAGTCCTGTGGTCACCTTTCCACTGTAACACGAAATCAACGCTTGACCTTGATAATTTCTGACAATTCCCGTAAACAAGAACACATTTTGAAGTTATTGATGATGTATGTAGAGGGAGACTTTGTACAAAAGTCGATTGCTTGGGTACCTCTGTCCCATTCGTGTTTCTACCGTGAAGCAGTTGTGTTTGCATGGCTGTGTTTCGGTTTGAACAGTGGAATATGGCGTGAATTAACCGGGTACAGAGGAATAACATCTAAGTCCTCAGGAATAGCAACGCATGGGGGGTATCATGGGCGAAACAGTATACTCTATCTTGTCCATGGTACTGGTCATGTCTATAGGCGACGGTTAGCACTATCCATCAGGTGGGCCGTCAGCTTGTTTGCCATTCTAAGTTTTATAAAAAAAATATTACCAGAGCAAAGCCAAATGGTCATAATCATCACCATATCAGCCTTTAACTGTCCACTGCTGAACATAAGCCTCCCCTTAGGTGGATTTTGTCAGTAGTTTCCACGCTTGGCTGCGGATTGTCAACCGCAGTTAGGCTTTAGAGATGTTTTAAGAGAGACGCTGCTGCCCATCCCTCGCCGTCTCTTAGTCGTCTCTTACAACACCTACGGAAAAGGGGGTGAAGAGATTGTTAGTAATGGGGTCTTATAGCCTCCACGCGGTACCCCCTGGAAACCATCATGTTTAATTCTTGTCGAATTCATCATGGTGGGCCAAGTGACCTGCATTCATTCTCACCTGTCATTTTCCACTGGTGCCTCGTCAGTGTATATCAATAGCGCAGGCGGGGTTACCAATCCATTTTCACACATTAAAAAAGAACACCACGGAAAAAAAAAGGATGGCCTATTCTATGCCGGGACCACACGGCCATCGAATAGTACTACTAGTAATATATTCTGTAACTATATATTTATTAGATTTGTCCCGTGACTTTGTCCGCGTAACTGTGATATGTTTATTAATCGACATTAAAAGCCTGTGTCCTTCTTCTCCCCGTATAGTACTTATTTGCCAAATGTTATAGTGATCGATTAATTAAGGTGCTAAGAAGTAACGAACAAACAAATAAGCAAATTCTCACGGGTGCACACTACATCAAATCACATTAGAAACCTCTAAAATTATCACTGTTTCTCTACTATATTATGCATGTATCGAATCACTCTATCTATTAAAAAGAACCTCATCAAAATCCGTTGGGTAATTTTATAGATCTAAGTATACATAGGGACAGACAGTTGAGAAGCGACTTTGTTTTATACTATGTAGTGACTGTGATAAAATTTTCAACAAAAAAATACATAATATAAGTTGTTCTAAAATAAAAAATAAAATTTTTGAAGTACAAATAAATTCTGTTGCCGCATCCACGAGCTTTCATTTTGTTCGTACCTCCAAATATGGTTTTACGTCAAGTTTCTTGATTAATGAATATTTAACTACGTAATCAAGAACAAGATTTTATAATAAGTAGGTTGATGCCAAGGTCAACGTTTGAATCGTGTTACATAATTGCATTTATTGTATGCAAAAACGCTGGTGCGGCGACGAATTTGCTTCGTTTATCTATCAAGGAACCAGTAGCATACCTAGATATAATATATTTCAATAGAACTTACAGAAAAACAAGTTTTTTTGCAAATATCAGAGAATCACTTTTTAAATGAAATTAGTGATAAATTAAAACTTCAAGCGATATTTTTTTGTTATATATATATAGCAGTCGTTAAAAGGAATTTTATATTATTTATATAATGTAATGTCAAACGTATGTTGCGTCACAGTCGCTTATGACTAAGGGTCGCGAATTGATTCCAAAACTAGTCGAGCTTTTCGATATAATTACACGTAAGTTAAACCGGTAATTGTTACATTAATATACACTCCTCGCAAAAATTAAGGGAACATAAAATTTTTTGAAATTTTTGGGTGATTTTCAACAGGCTGTATTTCAGTGAAAAATAATTGTACAGGAAATTTAAAAAAAGGGTTTTGAAGCTTGAAAACTCTAGTTTTCAGATTTTTTGGTGAAAAAATTTTTTGAGCTCCGGTTTTCATGCAATTCTTAAACAAAGCTGAAAATAATTTTTTTCACAAAAAAAAAAAAAAAATATTTTCAGCTTTGTTTAAGAATTGCATGGAAACCGGAGCTCAAAAAATTTTTTCACCAAAAAATCTGAAAACTAGAGTTTTCAAGCTTCAAAACCCTTTTTTTAAATTTCCTGTACGATTATTTTTCACTGAAATACGGCCTGTTGAAAATCACCCAAAAATTTCAAAAATTTTTATGTTCCCTTAATTTTTGCGAGGAGTGTATATATATATAATATAGTATGTGCTTACAAAACTTTTAACATGGTATTATACCCATGGTATCCATCATGTTTTATGTCCCTATACTCTTCCATATCTCACCCTTATACTAGCCTCAAAAGAATTTAAAAAAAAGCAACTACTCTACACAAATAGTCAAACTGTTTATAATTACTCCTCTCCATCCAAAGGTTGCCTGCAAGAGATCTCTTAGCGATAAGGTCGCCCATTGTTTTCTCACTGTGATTACTTCTAGTAATTGTTTATATCTATAATAAGTTTACTATTGTAATCTTATGGAGGAAACAATAAAGAATATCTATCTATCTATCTACACATCTCATCCTCAACGGCTGCTCAAGTGATCCTGAAATGTGAGGCTGTGGCCTATCAACGTTTAGAAATCCTCGGAACGGTGAGGTCGCTCCGTGAGGCCTGTGAAGAACCCAGGAAGCTTCTGCGCTTCTGGGCGGAGCTAGGTTGGCTGTACTAGCCACGACTCATACGCACACAGCCCAAATGAGAGGCTTAGCGCGGAAAACAGAGTCTTTCTCACATTCACACACATCTATCTGTCTACACATCTCATTCTTATACTAGATTCAAAAGAATCATCATCTTCCTACCCTTATCCCAATTTTTATTTGGAGTCGGAGTAATATGTTTTTATTCATATTACAAAAAGATTTTGCTTTTAGTTTTACGACTAGCCGCATGCTTGACGTCAACCCTCTTTGAGAAAAGAGGTACTCAAAAGAATAAAACAAAAAACTTAAAACTCAGTCACAACTATAAAATAATATAAAGTCCCCTTCTAATCAATTTGTTTTCCTATAAATTAAATTAAATTTACTGCTTATAACTAAGTATCGGATGCGAGAAATTCAAAAGTCAAGTGGGGGGGATGGGGGGGAAACAAATCTAATACAGATTCTTATAAAAATGAACATCAATTAAAACTTTGATAACAAAATTATTGAGACTAGATACAAAACGATTAACTTTGATGTATAAATGGTACAGAAATAACTTTATAACAACACCGCTCCTTCCTCTCAATAAGGTTTGTTTTAATTTAAAATTCTACAATTACTCAGAAGTTAACGTTGATGGAAATTTAAACTGTTCTCTTACTAACTCTTAATCTACTTTCCTAGTAAAATTAAACTACAAGCACTTTATAATGTTACTAATAGTATAAGTGCCATATAAAAATACCAATTGCCCATTCCTCAAGATCGCATACTCTGTGTTATCAAAAACCAAATTTACAGCCTAAATGGTCGCGTACCACGCGATTTCAGAGATGTTTTTTCTCACGAATACTCAGGTTATGGAATGAGCTCCCTGCCGAGGTTTTCCCAAGAGACTACAGCATGGGGTTCTTCAAAAGGGGGTAAAGAGGTTTCTTAAGGGTCGGTAACGCGCGCATAATACCTCTGATATTGCAGGCGTTCATAGGCTACGGTAACCGCTTACCGTCAGGTGGGCCGTATACTTGTTTACCACCTCAGTGGTATAAAAAAAAAAAACAAGTAATAAGCATCTGAAGGGTAGAACTTAAAACACATACATTCT